TATATTAATTCTTTTTAAGCATATGGACATGTGCAGACACTCTTGTCATGATGGCAAGGGAATTTTATTTGCAAATATTCTGTATCAAGGAAATTAGATTGGCTGCAAATCAAAGTAACATTTCAAGTACATATATATGCAGGAAATACACATGCTGTTAAAACAATCTTAAATATGTATCTACTTTCAAAATTACTGCATACTAACCAGTACTTCAGGGATACAGGACATATTACTGGACAATCTAATTACACCAACTGAAATATATTTAGTGTTTAAATATCCATTTCAGATGCTGCTAATTAAGAGTCAGAGAGCATGTCACCAGCTCAGGAACCTCCCATAAGGAATCTACCACAGTCACCATCTCAGATACAGTAAGAATGTCAGATCGTATTAAGTTAATTTTGCCAACTGACATGGTTTTAAAGAATTTAATACAACTGAACTTTGACCTATATGCTATGTTATTTACATATAAAAATATTGATTGCCCATCCTGTCTAAAATATGAAATGATGTTAGCCTCTATTCCTTGATGTATATTTGTAATTCCAGAGATATATTTATTGTTAGTGTGGTCGAAGAGAAAATAGTGATGCTTTACAATGCTTATATTACAGTGAAGCAGAGAGTGATACAGCAGCCACTGACCCCCAGTCCACCAAGAATTACATGAACAGGGGAGGCAACTCAAGGAAAAGGTTGACAAAATAGAAAAATTGAACAGAAAACTTGAACTTGAAAAGTTTGGAGTTTGTAAATTCATGTATGATGATAAAAATTGATTGAACATTTTACAGTATTCCATCATTTCAAACATTGGCACTGATTAGCTGGAACTTTTTCATTTGTTGAATATCTTCCCAGGTTTTGTGAAGTACCTTGCCCAAACAGCACAAAAATTGACAGACATGAATGTAAATGAAATTGTTTGGTGCTTTTGTGTTGTGTAAATGATGGATGAAAAAAGAGACAACTGTAATACATACACATTGATGGATTTAACTGAATAATAGAAAGGTCTTTCATAATGGCATAGTTGTAGATGTAACTCATTTGCTGCTGTTTAATTAATAATTGATGAAAAAGAATGTATTTCATCCTGTTTGAAAAGAGTTAGTTGGGAATCAGAAAAAAACATCATTGATAGGTAAGAGATTATGATAATGTGTAAGTGGAGAAAACTATGATAAATTATGCATTGATCCAGCTGTAATTGTTGCCATTCATGTCAGACTAATCTAAAAAGATATTTCTATCAACATAAATATTGCACCCAATATATTTTCAATTTGCATCCTCTGAAAATTGTATTGTTATTCATCAGTGTTACAGTTGGAATGTTGTGAATGTGTCTTTTGTTATTGGACTTTTAAGACACCATTTCAAAATAAATTTTTATTAACTGCACTCCAGGTGTTCGTTATTTATTTGGGTTAATTGTTTGCTGTAGTGTGAATCCTGTTACGTTAATCTGATAATATGTTCTCCTTAAAAATGTCTTGAGTTACAGTGGTACAGAATAAATACACTTGATCTACAATAAATCAATTTTATGGTATAGTAACACAGTATTGAAAATTGGTTCAAATATTCCCCATGCAGGTACCATAAGTCCATTTAGGTAAATTAATTATTCACCTCCAAATCAGTCAAGAAAGAACTTGAAAAAAATCATCCAGTTTTGTCTTGCACATTGTGTCCCACCAGAGACAATATAATAGATATGGTCTCTGGTCCCACTCATGTTGATTGAAAGAAATAGTTTCTACATGATGATGTGGCGATTCGTTTTTCCTCTGCGATTGTAACATGCAGCTACGCGCACATCCCCATCACCACTAGTCCTGTACAACTGAAAATAAATGCGTGAATAAATACCCTATATCTATAAAACAGTCGATAGGATAAAGTCGATAGGATAAAACATTTTAAACAAAAAAAACAAACAAACAAATAATTCATCACATGAATAATAATTTTTTTTGTTTGGTCCAGATCCACTCGAGGAGAGCTATCTTGATCTACATATTACTTATAATCTCGATTACACTACTCCCATGTGGAAGCTGATGATTTGAATCCAGGTCAGGAAATACGTTGAGTCTTTTGCTTTGTTTATGTTGATAAAGTAAACGTGATTGACTTCCCTTGGTAATATTTCCACTATTGTGACTTTAGAGTAGCTTCCCTTCATAAATGCTGCGCAACATGGTAAACGTTACCTAGATATCTAGGTCATATGACTTATCGTGATGTGTCGTGATGTACAGTAATTATTCACCCTTCAATCCATGGATATGCTACAGAAACATTTGTGTAGCCCTTTCCCATTTCTCTGCGATTTCCCTGCGATTTCCCTGAACTACTGGACAGTTTCGTAATGTAACGTTCAAGGGAAATTTTAAACCAGGAAGTATACATTGAGATTTGTCGCCATTATGCGATTGTGGCCTTGCCCCATTTAGCCTCGTTTTGGTACAGATATGAATATTCATGAGGCCTCATTAAGAATGGTCTATAACTGAACATAATAAAGTCTGGCGAAGCCTATATAGTGGCATAACGCATTGGGGATACAACGAGTGAGTGAGGGGGTTTATATTTACGCCACACTCACCAATATTCCAGCGGTGGTCTGTAAATAATCGAGTCTGGTCAACAGCATGAGCATCGACCTACGCAATTTGGTTACGATGTCATATGTCAACCAAGTCAGCGAGTCTGACTACCAGATGTCGTTACAAGCATGAGTTGCTGAAGATAGATTTGACCCGGATCTTAACGGGTTCGTTATTTGAAAGCAGACGCTTGACAAATTAGGAATTTCATACAACCTTTACTGAAATGATGACTGCTTACGAAAATACGACCCCTCAGCCATATATGCAGGATAAAGGAGATAATCTTGTCTCGGCAGACTGACAGACCCCACCTGTGACCACCTGTATCCTGGTCCTACTCTTGACATCCCGTGTCTGAGTGTAGCCGGGATATTGCTCAGTAAAACAATATTGAGACATGCAAGCAATGAAAACCCGAACGCAGCAAATTATCTGTTTATTTCAATTGTGCTAATTTCCAAAATCGTGAAAACACGAACGAAGAAATCGATTTAAATTGAAAACACGATTTGTGGCGAAGTAAACTGGATTTGGAAATTCGGAAACCAGCATGTCTAGAGATGAAAATTCATGTTTGCCGACAATATTCATAAATCTTAAATTTAAAGTCATTCAAACAGGACTGAAAAGGTACGGAATGAAGAGCCTAGTGACAGAGAATGGGTGATAAGTAAGAATTAGCTTCAACGGGCACCCAACCTCTCCGGACCTCACCTTACCATCGTTGCCGCCAATACATACAGCCCCTGCGACGGAGAAGTTATAGAAATGAGTTCATGTAATTTGCATGTCACAGGCATATTGTTGACAAATACTGCAATACTGTAAGGCTGTGCAATATTACCGGTAAACCGGTATATACCGGTTCAGTATCGCGCGATACGATTATCGCGATATGGTTCAGATTCTGCAATATATTGGGCCATCAAGAGTTAGCTCCATTTGAATTATCTGCCATTGATTTCCATAGCAGAAAATGTGCTCTAAAAGTGCCATATATACTTTTATTTCTGTTGGTTTCATGTAACATTTTACAAGTGGAAGTGTCATGCTAAGTGGCACCAAAATTGCCAAATATTCTACCAAATGCTTTACGTTTTGTGGGTTTGAATGGTTTCATTTGGAGGAATTAAGTGGCTTCAAATGGACCAATTTTTATTTGGATTTTTTAGTAGAGCCTCTGAGTGACCATTTCACAGTTCACATTATTTTGGTATTTTTGTTTGTTTCATAATGGGGCATATGATATCAATTCATCATAAAGGCCTGAGTCATACAAAAATGTAGGACTGTATAATGACATTCCAGTCAAGGATCTTAGTTATTGGAGGTCACATGCGATTGTAATCTCAAGTAGTTCAACTAAATCATGCTTGGGTTTCATTTTGCAATAGTTCACGTTAACACATGTTTATATTGGAATTGACATACAGTAACAATAATTACATACTGCATTGAAGTGCATTCTGTTTATGCAAACAACACCGACTATGAAAATCATGTTATACTACTGCCTTTATTGTTGTTGCAGTACATTCAACATTAAGGCTCTATATTATTTTATTTATATGTAAACCACTGGCATACAGACATACACAATGGGGACGGGGAGCCTGAAAGTATGGTGTAAAAGCAACTAAGAAGATGATGTCGCACACAGAGAGCAATATATCGCAATATGAAAGTCCTATTGTTTTCAAATTGTTTGTACCACATTTATAAAACCGACACGCTATTGATTTTGGATTAGTACAGTGACGAATCAAAACCAGATCCAGCGATAAGTTTAAGAACACGGTCCACCAAATTCAACTGCGTCTCCTTAACGATGATTTCAAAGGGCGACAACTCTGCCACTCTTAGCTGGCGTTGGAGTGCCGTGTAAACATTTCCGACACTTTTGTACATTATATACTCATTGAGACGAATAAGGGAACACATGAAAGTACAATTAGCAAGTGTTTCTTTATGTATTTCCAGAATTTCACCCACAGTGCAATAGATACCTTGTGAAGAAACTTGGAAAAGAATTAAGGAACATTGGTTCTTTCATGTGTTCCGTTTTTCGTTTCCACGAGTATATGATTGCATTCGATATGAACACCAGTGGCCACTATTAGTTACGTGGTATGTAGCGGGTATAACGTCTTGTAATCTTTATTTCTGTCATAAAGCATAAATGCCACCACAGGTATACACATGGTGCAAACAATGAAGATCGGGTCCAAAACACTGGAGTGATGTAAAGACACCAAGTGTAACTAAAACATGGACGTCCATGTGATTTTGTACCGCCATCTTTGTGTAGTGACTTCCACCTACAGAAATAAATAATATTTAAAACAAACAAAGAAACACAGTCTGACACAAAGATTATACCAGAGTTCTGTTGCCGAGGACTGTGTCCGATATGTATTTGGCTGTGTGATTCATAGAATTGTGAAGAAACTGTTCATCACCAGGGAGAAGATCCTCGGCACCTTCGGGATAGAATTCGTTTGTGTCGAAGTTATAGACAGACCAGAAAACGAACATGGCTACTGCAATCGAGAGTATACTCAGGAGGCCAATGGTCAATACTACTTTCTCCAGCCTGGTCTGTTTGAGGGCAGCAAGGGCGAACACGTGATTATGGAACTCCTCATCGTTCTCGGTGCTTTCCTGGACTTTGTCAATACCCAACACGTAGTTGAACATTCTCCTGGCAACGCTCCTCGTTGCTGTGGAAGAGCAAAGACAGTTTTATATAAAATTAGATGTAATTTCCTGATTGATTCTAGCATTTGTCCACGATACTCAAACAGTTTAATGTTCATAAAGAGCATTTATTAGTGGATGATTTGTTGGGTTTTAACTCTTACCCAGACATCTGCTCTCCGAAATGACCATATTTTACAGAAAAAACGGTTCCTAACTAATTTTCATAACATATCATAAAAAAGAATCCAACGATTTTCTACGTGGTAATCTCGACTTGCCATGGGGTGTGTTGAGTACACTTGTTTAAGTAGTTGCCTATGTTGCCGATGCTGAAGTTCTCCATGATTCATCTGTACCATGTTCTATGACAGTGTACATGAATAGTTGAAAAGCTGGATAACGAAACGAAACTATAGAAATGCAATGGTTATTTGGACACTGCGGCAATGTATAATTATGTCCGCACACTACCTGTAATTGATATCCCCTCTGATATGATTTGTTAAATAGAAAATATATGTTCTTGTAACTCCCTTTGTGAGAAACACTTCATGTTGCCTCATCATAGACACGCAATACATAGGCGGATACAGGAATTTTCAATGGGATGTGGGCATGGGCTGTGGGTTTCGAATCCCCTTGGCTCTGCCAATGCAAATCATTAACTCAGTGATCTTTAGTCATTGTCATCCTCATCTTAGTGTTATATTGTGTTAAATTGTCTTCACCTGTAGTTTCTGTCTGAAGCAGGTCAACATACGTCTCTTCCACATTAGACTTCACGGTAACCGTCGGTGGAGCAGCGTCGTCGTGCGGCGTAATGGAGTCCACTTCCTTACCGACGGTGCTGTTGATCATCTTCAGGTTAGCATCAATGTTCTTACTCCCGTCGCTGAAGGCTTTGACTTTGTCTCGGTAACTCCATAAGGTAGTGTTTTGCAGCTGGGGGAAAACAAATGTTCTAACATGAAACCTGGATCACGGATGAGTGAGCCCTTCACCGTGCGTGCGTGCGTGCGTGCGTGATGGGGTTTGGTTTTTTAATGCCGCACTCGCCTGAATACCAGAGAGCTGTCGGCGACCTGTAGGAAATATATATTCCAATTGATTGACATTATCATCAGCGATCCACGACATCTGGTAACAATAATACGTTATCAGCTACCTCTGCCGCCTTGTCCAACGTGAACTTTGGCCTCGCCGTCAAATGGCGACATCTAGGTCTAACTCACTCACACTTCGTACGGCCAACATAGATTGATAATGAATGAGTGAGTTTAGTTTTACGCCGCTTTTAGAAATATTCCAGCAATATCACGGTAATATCAGAAATCTGGATCACGATTGAGTGAACTCTTTCACCGTGCGTTCGGGCATGCGTGCGTGATTGTTTTTAACGCGGCACTCGTCTGTATACCAGACATCTGACCTCGATATTCTGTCTGACTGACATTATCATCAGCAATCCACGCCATTCCGATGACGATAATACGTTATCACCTAACTCCTTGGCCGCGTCCGACGTGACCTTCGGTGTCGCCGTCATATGGTTGAAATGAATCTCACGCACACCTCGTGGACCGACAGGGATTGCTAATGATAAGTTGTGAGGTGAAGTGAGGTGAAATTGGGTTTAACGTCGTGCTTGAGAATATTTCGCTCATATGACGACGTGCATGCGTGTGTATGTGTATGTGCGGCTGCTTGTACTAGCCCAGACTAAAGCTGGTTGTATAGTGCTAGCCCACTGAGATATCATGCCGCAGTAAAGCATGAATACCCCACTCAGACACATTATACTGACTCCGAGCCGACCAGTCCTTGTTGTACCCATTAATGCCGAGCGCCAGGCAGGGACCAACAAGTACCATCTTTTGGTATGGCGCGGTCGGGGATCGAACCCGCGACCTTCGCACTCCGGGTAATCTGTATTGGAGGACACGGAAAGAAAGACTTAATTTGTACTAGCTGTGAGGTGACTGATATGAAACATTCACTGAATTCTGTGCTTTTGACCCCATTATCAGGCGTTAATCAATCAGTTATGGACATTAATATGTATTTGTTCTTAAAATATGTACAGTAATAAAACCCATAATACCAGTAGAAATTCAAGTAGAAATTAAAATATCATTTTTATAGACATACGAGACTCAGTGGCACACACATATTGCGACAGGTTAGTATCAAGTGGTCTTCAGTAACCCATGATCGACGTAAGAGGCGACTAACGGGATCAGGTGGTCAGGCTCGCTGACTTGGTTAACACATCTCATCGTGTCCCAGTTGCGTAGTTAATGTCAATCACTGGAATGTCTGGTCAAGACAGGATTGTTTATAACTTTAATATTGCTGAGTGAGGTGTTAAAATATAAACAAACAAAAAACGTCATTGTTTGTGTATAACGACGTTTGATACCTCACTCTGACATTCGGTACAAACCCATACCTTCCTCTCTCCAGGAGTGCGGCGTAAACCTAAACTCACTCACTCTCCAGAAAGAGTATCTTTCAATTGCACAAAAATGGCTGTTTATAAAGGGTGTTGGTCGTTAGAATCTGAAGCTGGTGTGTTTTAAACTCACGCATTCCTCTGGTGGAGGCGTTGTCAAGAAGCTGATGACAAGAGCTATCAGACCAGTGGACAGGAAGAGGAACAGAGCGAAGTACATGTAGTGCATGTTCCTCACAACTGCAGGTATCGTCGTGGTTGATGATGCTCCACAGTAGCCTTCCCCCTGGAAAGACAGAACCAGGACCAGACGCACCGCCCCGACCACGAAGGCGTACATCAGAGACCAGAACACACCCTGCAATCAGTTCCATATACATCTCAGTGAGTGGGTGAGTTTAGTTTGACGCCGCACTCAGCAATATTCCAGCTATATGGCGGCGGTCTGTAAATAATCGAGTCTGGACCAAACAATCCAGTGATCATTCCAAACAGAGAGACAGATGTCGTAAAGTTAACCTGGTTCCTAATGCATTTTAAAAGGGTTGTCTTTGGTAAAATCAATCAATAGCTACAATCAATCGTGGCTAATATGTGGGCTAATTTAGCTTTGCAATAGTCTTACTATTGAAACCAAAATACATTATTTTTGTTGCAATAACTAGATAAATTGTGTGTGTTTTTTATAAATAACAATTCACACATGTGTCCCTAGGCAGTTGAACATGAAATTAGCATAATTAAATAAATGGAGAGAATTTCTGGATTTCATTTCAGTTCAATTCATTCAACATAAATTAAAAAATACAAACGACACACCTTTTCATTGACCCTGGGAACTAACACAGCCAGTAGAAACACAGCAGCGAAAGAAGGGGTGAAGTAGTTGGTTACCTCGTTGATGAAGATGAAGACCTGACCTTTTTGGGTTTCTTTAATCACGGGTACCCATGCTATGGATACGGCAACCATTATCACAATAAACACCCTGAAATTACAAAACACCAGCACTTGGATAAAACTTTCAACGAAATAGAGGAAAGTGAGTGAGTTTAGTTTTACGCCGCTTTTAGCAATATTCCAGTAATATCGCGGCGGGGGACACAAGAAATGGGCTTCGCACATTGTACCCATGTGGGAAATCGAACCCAGGTCTTCGGCGTGACGAGTGAACGCTTTAACCACCAGGCTACCTCACCGCCCCAAATAGAGCAAAGAGAACTCACGGTGACTTGTCGTGGTGGTATATGACAACAAACACGTTCCATGAACTTCCTCGTTTGTCCATTGAATTGATTGACACAGTTGATATTATTCAAGGAGGGCAATGTCAATGTTTGAATGGTCGTGCTTTAGTTCAGAAATGCATTTCGCTGCATTTCCCCATGTATTGTGTTATAATCAGTTTTGCCCTGAACTAAAAGCACGAGGACGTTTGCGTTGCCCCCTTGAATCATAGCAACTGCTTCAAGCTTCCTTGTGTTTTAGCCACAATAGTTCAGGCAAACTGCCCTATATTACACGAGACATGGAGAGCGAACTTAATAATTACCGACGATTAATCTAAGAGAGAAAACAAACAAACAAACGACGGTGTCGGTGACCTGAATTAACTATCCTCGTTCAGGGCTCAATGATGTTCTGTTGATGTGTCATCCTCCCCACGTTAAGACTGACTGACCGACTGAGTTTGGTTTTACGCCGCTCTTAGCGATATTCAAGCAATATCACGGCGGGGGACACCAGAAATGGGCTTCACTCATTGTACCCATGTGGGGATTCGAACCCGGGTCTTCGGCGTGACGAGCCAACGCTTTAACCACTAGACTATCCCACCGTCCCCCCCTACGTTAAGAGGCACGTCACCAAAAAACAAATGATGAACAGTTTCAAGACGGTTAATGCATGCATTGTCCTCTCTTTATTATTCTAAATTATATATGAGATTATCGTAAACCATAAACGTCGCATTTCTACTTCCAAGATAAGTTTAGATCAGTACATCCAAATGAAGCTGACTGGTCACAAGACATTCCACGGATGCATTGTGGGAATGTTGACATAGGCTAAGCCAGCTTTCATTCGAGCTGGGACACGTTTTCCAACAAAATAGTAACACGTAAAGCTTCCACTGGTGATGTTAGCCGACTGAAGCTGTCGCTAACCATGAAACAGGGTGCTGCGGAGTTAGTTGTACTGTAGTACACTGGAGAACTGACATGTATCGTGTCGTCGGTTACCAAGGGAGCGTTTGATTACGAGGGGGGCAGATTAGAATGGCGTCGTGACGTCAATACAGTGTGACGTAAGACAAAAAGGGTACTTTATCGTCTGATAAAGTACTGTCGACGCCTTTGATATTTGCGAAGCATCTTAGAGCTGCCCTTATAGTTAGACCACAGATATGTATCGTGATGTTGGTTACCAAGGGTACGTTTGATTACAAGGGGGCAGACTAGAATGTCGTTGTGACGTCAATACAGTGTGACGTAATACAAAAAGTGTACTTTATCGCCTGATTAAGTACTGTCGGCGCCTTTGATCTTTTTAGCGAAGCATCTTAGATCTGCCCTTATAGTTAGACCACAGTGGTAAGTAACCAGTACTGACACATTGGTGCGTTCAGAAAATGCCAGCCTATATGATGGGGATTCACCAACAACAGTCTTAAAATTGTCATGAGAATATGTAATCCATACATACATATCTGGAAGATAGTTAACAAGCACCTGCCAACTAGCATCTGTTCGGTAACCGAGGCCGCCTTCCTGATCCGCTTCCATATATCAATGGTGAATAACGTACTTGCGCTGTTGAAGATGGAGTCGAGGTCACTCATGAGGGCTGCTACAATCACAGCCATCATCAGCCCCCGGGCACCTGTGTGGAGACAAGATAATAAAAGTCATGCATAGACTGAGAAGATAGACGTCATCAGCCCCTAGGCACCTCTGTGGAGACAAGGATGATAAAAGTCATGCATAGACTGACAAGATAGACGTCATCAGTCCCCGGGCACCTGTGTGGAGACAAGATGATAAAAGTCAAGCATAGACTGCCAAGATAGACTTCATCAGCACTCGGGCACCTGTGTGGAGACAAGATGATAAAAGTCATGCATAGACTGACAAGATAGACGTCATCAGCCCTCGGGCACCTGTGTGGAGACAAGAATGATAAAAGTCATGCATAGACTGACAAGATAGATGCCATCAGCCACCGGGCACCTGTGTGGAGACAAGATGATAAAAGTCATGCATAGACTGACAAGATAGACTTCATCAGCCCCCGGGCACCAGTGTGAAGACAAGATGATAAAAGTCATGCATAGACTGACAAGATAGATGTCATCAGCCCCCGGGCACCTGTGTGGAGACAAGATGATAAAAGTCATACGTAGACTGACAAGATAGACGTCATCAGTCCCCGGGCACCTGTGTGGAGACAAGAATGATAAAAGTCATGCATAGACTGACAAGATAGACGTCATCAGCCCTCGGACACCTGAGTGGAGACAAGATGATAAAAGTCATGCATAGAATGACAAGATAGACTTCATCAGTCCCCGGGCACCTGTGTGGAGACAAGATGATAAAAGTCATGCATAGACTGACAAGATAGAAGTCATCAGTCCCCCAGCACCTGTGTGGAGACAAGATGATAAAAGTCATGCACAGAATGACAAGATAGACGTCATCAGGCCCCGGGCACCTGTGTGGAGACAAGAATGACAAAAGTCTTGCATAGACTGACAAGAGAGACGTCATCAGCCCTCGGGCACCTGTGTGGAGACAAGATGATAAAAGTCATGCATAGACTGACAAGATAGATGTCATCAGTCCCCGGGCACCTGTGTGGAGACAAGATGATAAAAGTCATGCATAGACTGACAAGACAGATGTCATCAGTGAGTTAGTTTTACACTGCTTTCAGCAATATTCCAGCTATATGGTAAATATGGTCTGTAAATAATCGAGTCTGGACCAGACAATCCAGTAATCAACAGCATGAGCATCGATCTACGCATATGGGATATACGACAAAATGTGTCAACCAGGTCAGCGGGCCTGACCACCCGATCCCGTTAGTCGCCTTTTACGACAAGCATGGGTTACTGAAGATAAATTCTGTGAGTGCGGTGTAAAAGTAAACTCACTCACTTGCTATCATACTTATTCTTTGCGAGGATTACATGGCAAAAACCTCACCATCAGGCATAAGCCCCAGGACCAGTCTGGGGTAAGCGATGTTGGAACAGCCTGCTCTGCTCTGACACACCGACATACAGTAGTCTGGGTTGGTGCATGCAACATCATCTACACAAAAAAGACCAAAATAGTACTTGATGTAAATACACTAGTGTTGTGCCTTTATAATACATGCTAGTTTGTTTGGTCCCACTGTTAGGCTATCAAAGAAGGGGTAACTTGGTGATTAAGTACCAGGTATATGTTTAGATAACCTTTTTAATATAGTTAATTTGGGTCGCGAATCATTAAACATCGTTCAATGTTTGAATGTTATGTTCACAAGCTCCGCATTTCAATGAATGTTTGAAATAACTGGATCGCGATTGTCCAAATATTCGTATGTTTGGCGTGGCATGAATCAAGTCAATTCCCAAAGACCAAAGGGTTCTGTTGACTGTCCTTGAAGCAATGAGTTCAGTTTGGATCACCTATCAGGTGGTCTTTGATTCCCCATGTCAAGAATTATAACTTCCTTGAGAGGCATTTTAGAAGTTGTTAAGATGAAGAAAAAGCAAGTTCTATGGATAGTCAACTTGCGGTGTTCATGGCAGTGTAAGTGATTCTGCTCTACATCTTTACAGACACGTCTCCAAATGTGTAACGTTCCCTTACGTTCACGTTATCAAACCTGTCGTTACAATGCCTCCAGACACTGCGATGTGTGGATGAAGAGCCAAGAGTGAATCATCTGAAAACAGATGAACTAGGGAATCAATGTGTATGACTTTAGCTCACCTGGATACAATATTCTGCTGATCATTCCTGGCATCACCATGATGAACAGAGGAAGTATTTTGATGAAACCAGCCATTAGTGTGGCCCCTTGAGCATGCGATACACTCTTGGCCGCCAGGGCTCGCTGAATGATCACCTAGGCAACACATGCAATATTTTTCACAAACGGTCACGAATGGACTAAGAACTGTTCAGGCTTGTTTAAATCCAGCAAAACGGGGACACCTGACATGGGCTACCCCACTGCTCGAGTTTAAGCTTTGATTTTGTATCTACACACATCTGTTTACAGGGTAATAGTTGGATAGCTGTAAATGATGGTGTCATGGAAAGAGAGGAAGAAACGCGTTACGCAATTCATTGTCATGACTGGAACCAAATGTTTAGGATATAAATAGTGACGTAACATGAAACAATTACGTTAGTCTTTCTGCGTCAGCAGGAAATGGGACTGAGGGTCTCTGAGTATTTAGGTCATATAATATCCTCAAACCTGTCCATTCAGCAGGGATCGATCTCCCACAAGTACATTTCTTTTTTGAAAAATAAAACATATACGTATTGTGATGTCTCTCCCACTCTTGCGGGCGGTTAGGGTAGCCTAATGGTTAAAGCGTCCGCTCGTCACGCGAAGACCCGGGCTCGATTCCCCACATGGATACAATGTGTGAAGCTGTCCCCCGCCGTGATATTGCTGGAATATTGCTAAAAACGGCGTAAAACTAAAACTCACTCACTCACGCTCCCTCCTCACAGTTACCTGGTCAGCACACCAGTACCAGATGGACCCTGTTGTCTGTCCAAGAAGGAAGCCGACCCATGGCACGTAGTCATCTGTTGCCCCACGCAACATGCGGAACGCCTGCTTGTCTGGATGATGACAGGTGGTACCAGGCACAATGGCAGTCACGTTGGTTGGAACAGCCTGGGGATACTTCTCCAGAAGCCCCGAGAACCCACCGATTTCATAGAAACCTGATGAAGAAACACAAGACGTCAACGTCAGAGTGAGTGAGTGAGTGTGGTCTTAGGCCGCTTTCAGCAATATTTCAGCAAAATCACGGCGGGGGACACCAGAAATTGACTTCACACATTGTACCAATATGCATGTTAGGAATCAAACCCGGGCCTTCGGCGTGACGAGCGAACGTTTTAACCACGGGGCTACCCCACCGCCCGTCAACGTCAGAGAATAATCAGTCTCCATTATCCATTTGAAAAAGTATTGAAAAATGCAAATCGTCAAAAGGCACCATTTCGGAATGACTGACAAAAAATGAATGGATTTAACGAGTGGGAGTGGGAGTGTATGTGTTCTTGCGCGGGCGTGCACGTGTGTGTATGTGTTTGGTTGGATTGGGGAGAAAATGATATTGTTAATGCATTGTTTTACAGCATGTTACAATATTCATCAAAATGTGATATTCCTTCTGTTTGCCGTACCCCCTCACGATCGGTTTGGTATCTCTAATAATTCGGTACAAATTTTACAGTTCTTGGAAACACACGTGTTATAACCCAGCGTACAATTAAATTATATGTATCTGTGTCAGAATCTACCAACCTGACACGGAACCTGGAAAGGAATGGACTTTCTTTCAAACTGTTCCCACTTTATCCCACATCTATATCATGTCTGCTGGAACGTTGCCGAGCGCAACCAAACCAAACCTTCAAACAATCACTGTGCATGTATCAGTGTAGAACACAGTCAGACACAGTCAGACACAGTCAAACATACCTGCTCCCATGAGGTAGAGGGCCCCTCCGATCATCACTGTAGCCTGCAGTGTGTCTGTGTAGATGACAGCTGTCAGACCACCTGAAGTGATAGCAACACCCTTTGTTACATCAAAGTCTGAGACCACTTGCACAAAGTCACCTCGGTCAGAAAATAATCTTTACTCTTAAAGTTTAACATGAACTTATGATAGCCTTTGCCTCAAGATTGCTTTGAGCAAGTGGCCCTGGATGATAATACATTGCAGAGATGAGTCTAATTCATAAAGCGAGGATAATCTCTTACACTGTTGATGTCGTGATAATGTTAGTGGTGAGATCACATGGTCGATATGGGACCTGGACCAAGTCCGTGGTGTAGTGGTTAGAGCGTCCGCCCGGAGAGCGGAAGGTCGCGGGTTCAATCCTCGACCGCGTCATACCAAAAGACGTTAAAATATGGTACTTGTTGGTCCCTGCCTGGCGCTCGGCATTAATGGGTATAGCAAGGACTGGTCGGCTCGGAGTCAGTATAATGTGTCTGAGTGGGGTATTCATGCTTCACTGCGGCATGGTATTTCAGTGGGCTAGCACTATAAAACCAGCTTTAAGTCTGGGCTAGTACAAGCAGCCGCACATACACATACACACGCATGCACGTCGTCATATGAGCAAAATATTCTCAAGCACGACCTAAAACCCAATTTCACCTCACCTCACCAAGTCAAACATAGATATCATGGCTTTAACAATTTTAATATTCAGTTTGATTTGTTTGTTTGTTGTTGCGCCGTGCTCAGAGTGAGTGAGTGAGTTGAGTTTTACGCCGCACTCAGAGATATTCCAGCTATATGGCGGCTGTCTGTAAATATTCGAGTCTGAACCAGACTATCAAGTTATCCACATCGTGAGCATAGATCTACGCAACTGGGATACGATGACATGTGTCAACCAAGTCAGGGAGCCTGACCACCCGATCCCGTTAGTCGACAAGCATGCGCTACTAAAGACAAATTCTAACCCGGATCTTCACAGGTCAGTTATTTTGATAAATCCGGCAATACGAATATCATTGTCAACGACAATTTGATAAATAAGCAGGTCCGTCAAGTTTAATAATTCGAAAGTCGTATTTCAAAGAGAGTACGAACTACAAGTTCAGCCTTGAGACTTATCCAAACATAATATTTGCCAGGAATACAGAGACACTACTATACTAATCCACTAAATTGTGCTTACAACGACAGTGTTTTCAAGAAAACAAAGCAAGTTGATAAACTATGCAACAAGTGAAATAGAAGTGAGTGAGTGTAGTTTTGTGCCGCTTTCAACAATATTGCAGCAATATCACTGAGGAGAAACCAGAAATGGCTCGACTCATTATACCCTTTAAGGGGAATCAAACCCCGGTCTTTGGGGTGACGAGCGAACGATTTAACCACTTTAACCACCGCCCCCCAAACATATGAGATACAAAGAGACTGATCACCTGTAAATGTGAGGACGGCAGTAACAACGATTAGCAGCACGATGCTGACGTATATATCCCAGTTGAGAGCTTGTTGGATGAACAACGCACCTGTGTAGAGATTCCCCTAAAAGCAACAAATCAAACCATTCAACAATACATTATTGCCACAAATAAGTGGTTTACCATCGCACGATATAGATTCTAACAACTATCAGATGGACATGATCATGGCCACATTTTGCATGCTGGGAAATGTGTTTAAATGAAGGACACTGGTACACAATTTCACAATCACCTCAAGTCTTGACCTTCTTTAAGGGGCATTTAGAAGGAAGAGGAACAACTTTTATGGATTCACAACGTCTACGAAATTTTGGTCTGGATGTCAACACTTGCGAGATAACGGTGTTAGCATCTTCACCGAAACGTCGCATCTGTTGCAATTCTTGAAGTTGTGAATCCATAAAAGCTGTTCCTCTTCCTTTGCAATCCAGTAAGTTGAAGCTCATACCTGTCGTGAATGAAAATACAAGCCGGAAATACAAACACTCTTTTCCAGCCACCTGTGCCCTCTGGCAGCACTTATGTCGGGTGTAGGGCCTGAAAGTCTTGCTTTCGGTACGTAGGTTGTTCCCAGATCCCTTTGCGTGCACCAACTTGCGATATGCGAGACGGGGCCCAGCTAACTTCCGGTGACAAGCGTATATTCAAGAACCAGTTCTTGTTCCAATTGCGCGACCGCCAAATATGACTTTATTAGACCGTACCAAGTGTACAACCATGCTTGGTTGTCACAGCTGTTGACAGTCGTAATAATTGGCTAATTTGGGAATGGTAAGATCGGAAAATTGCCATTCCTGCAAGGATTCTCGGTTCCTTACTGTCAACTGACAACCATGAGGCAATTCGAAAAGGTATGAAACATTGTTTCTCACCGGAAGTACTATGGTCTCGCGAAGTGCCGTGACATACTTACGGGCCCTAATAGCCTTACAGAAGCAACAACTCACCGAACACTTTGTCAACATGGAGAGAATAAGGCTCAATACTGCGTAATAGATCCGCAGTCGATTTCCACCAAATCTCTTGGCGAGATACTGCGGCATTGTGTAAGTCTGTGTAAATAAGAATCGTTATTGTTAAGTACATCTGCTAATGAAATTTATGGGAGCGTTGTTTAAGGTACAACGCAGTAGCAATATGTTTCAAGTCCCCTTGCTCAACAGAAGAGACGGGACAGTGGGTATTAAGTGAGGTTGTACCGTGATCTCATTGCACTATGAACAAACACGAACATACACAGACGCACATACACGCACGCACATACGCACATACGCACACGGGAATCACGGCCACGAAGCTGAATCTTTATCATACCACTAATTCCTAATAGACCCGTGGAGATCCGGGTTAGAATTGATCTCCAGCAACCCATGCTTGTCGTAAAAGTCGACTAACGGGATCGGATGGTCAGGCTCGCTGACTTGGTTGACACGAGATCGTATCCCAGTTGGGCAGATCGATGCTCTTGCTGTTTATCACTGGATTGTCTGGTCCGAACTATTACAGACTGCCGCCATATAGCTGGAATATTGCTGAGTGCGGCGTAAAACAACAAAGCAACAAACCAATCTCTATATAAATAGAAACTCACCCCGCACGATATGTAAACAGGTATGAATATCCATCCAGCTATCTGCAGGATCAGTAGAGCCTGTTAACAAGGAGCATACTTTACAACACGGGAAACTATACAGGCGAAAAACACGTGAAGACCAGTAATCAGTCATAAAGTTACTCTATTTACGTGAATGTATTAAAAAATACCAAAGGAGGCATGTTAATACAGAAAATCTATCTCACCGAGTCTTTAGATATAAGAGTCTATAAAAGCTTAAAACTGCAATGTTTGTCGGTGAACTTTATACATTTATAGGCGAATGTTGAATCAGATAATTTGTTATCAAAAGTCAAAGGAGGTATTGCTTTATCATCCAAATGATCTTCTAACTGTTCTGGGTCCCGATCCACAAAACGCATGCAGCAGTACGACATTCGTAAGCCTATGGTAAACAGTTACGACAGGTCGTAATGTTATGAACGCTCTGTGGATCGAGACTCTGGTTTGTAAACAGTAACAACCGGTGACTCCAGTGTAAATATTACAGCTGATCTGCTTCAACGGCAGAGAGAATAGTGATGTCATCAAGTTGTGATGTCATTGTCAGGCACAATACGGTGTACATAAAGCTCACGCTTTAAGAGCAAAACACTTTGATCATATTGACGATGTGTGATCGTAACTCTGACTATTGATGAAATATGATGCCGTCACTCACACTGAGCTCCCATGCTCCAACACCGATTCCATTTGCAGCACCAGAACCAGCCAGCCCGATGAAATGTTCCGTTCCTATATTGCTCACGAACAGAGACGCGCCGATCTGCAAGAGATGCAAATGCAATGTAAACATCATGCCAGTGTAGGATATTCAAGGTAGCTGAAAACAGGTCATTCAATGGGGAGGTGATTTAAGCATTGAAAACAGCTATAGTCATCATAGAATCTTCTTCATCGGTAAACGTTTCTTTTTCTAAGTAACCTCTTTATCACATATGTACGTGTACAGTCGAACCCCGTTTATCCGGACATTTTGGTTACACTCAGAAATCGTCCGGATAGCGAGGCGCCCGGTTAACTGGATCAAACAAGCAAAACGTATTGCCGATGTATATTGAAAATTTATTCATGTACATGTATATATATATCAATAAACAGTCTTTCATCACATTGACTCACATTACATCTTACTTCACTTCACTCAGTATCTTGACATTTCCCCCGAAGCACATTTATTTCTTTAAAAAGTCTGTCATTGATGTTTGTTTCGTTGGTTTGATTTCATCCAGTTTCTTAACCAAGTCCATCACAAGATTCACCGATCTTTCGTCGCCATTACATTCGTAGAATGTCAGCAACCTGTTGGCGTTTTGAAGAGCTTCTGATACTGTTGGCGGGACAACTGCTGGTTGGTCCTCGACGTCTGACTGGTCGTCTGTCGGTGGCTGTACTCTGTTGAGGATTTCTTTATCAGTAAGCTCGTGGCCGGTGTCTATGATAGTGTCTTCATTCACGTACTGCTCAGCAGTTGGGACCTCGTCCCCATCACTTCTTGGTAATTGCTGCGTCACATTTCTATATCTATAGCAATATTGTTAATGTTTACTATTTCCTTGGGAGAAAATCCGGGCTAAAGTACTGTCGGAAAATAACTGATACCGGCATTGCCATCAAAGAGCTTAATTGCCATGGACAATGCTCCGTTACATTGTGTCCAGGATCCTGATATGAAAGCCCAAACTTCAATTTCAAGGAAGGGACACATGATAGAGTGGTTAGAAAGCCATTATATACCGTTTCCATTTAACACAACAAAACCCAGACTGTAAGAAATCATTAAATCAACAAAAGAACACCTGTGTATAAAATAGACCAGTATCTGAAATCACAAGGTCATGATGACTTCCGTTTGGCTCCTTATCATCCAACTGAGTGTGAGTGTGTTTAGTTTTACGTCGCACTCAACTAAATTCCAGCTATATGGCGGCGGTCTGTAAATAATCGAATCTGGACCAGACAATCCAGTGATCAACAGCGTGAGCATCGATCCAAGCAATTGGGAACCGATGACATGTGTCAACCAAGTCAAGCATGGGTTACTGAAGATCAATACTCTAACCCAGATCTTCACGGGTGAACCCAGCTGACCTGATCTCGGGTATCATCAAATCTGACATTGCCCGGAATAACACGACGTATATAATGACAGACGTTCAAAATCTAGTCCACGAATCCATGGCTAAGATTTCACAAGACACATGGCAAAAATCAGTTGAAAAAGTTGGAAATGCCGTGGAGCATCAGTACTGGCTTCAAAGCGGTTTACAACAGGTGACTATCAGTCCTGTTATCATACAAGTGCATTCTGATGACTCTGGCAGCTGTGAGTTCATGTCCGATTCAGAATCATAGTGCAATGACTTTTGATGCCATCCTCTACCGATGAAATCAACATCGCACGTGCATCTCGCTTACCTGGATGTTACCTGAGCTGTCGCTGCGCCTTTGTCACAAATATTAAAATATCGAATAAAAACAATGATGGTTTGTTAAACAACTTTTTTATTTTGCAGACAAAAATGTTAACAAAATTCTGCAGAGTTGGTGTGTTTTTCCTATTGACTTAGGCGTTGGTGTGAGTCACGATTGTTTGTTTTGGAGTTAGACTGCAATTCATTGGGGAGGTTTGGACTCAAACGGACAGTACAGTCTGTATGTATAGTGTACTCATTTATTGAGTAAAGCATCATGTGTGTGTGTGTGTGTGTGTGTGTGTGTGTGTGTGTGTGTGTGTGTGTGTGTGTTGAAAGAAATTTACGGATTATTGTGCATTAGAAAGAATCAAATCACTTGTGTTATTTTATCCATTGATTGCAGCAACGTGCAGCGTTTTGATAAATGTTTTGTATGTCAACAGTGTATTTCATCGCAAATATAGAATCTGATATATGATATGTTATTTTGTCAATTCAATCCAGCTGTGGACATTGGCCAAAGACTTAACCAGGTCACTAGTATAACTTCTTTAAAACAGATATACTAGTAGATCTGGCTGTGTCGAAGTAGAATCGGATTAGCAATAATAACTTTTTATTTTGTTGTCTGTTAGCTGAAGACTCACTGTGTGAAAATAATCAATTAATCAAAGTAAATTCATGATGGTCAGGTGTGTATAAAACCAGCTGTTTGAACGACACATAAACATGGTGCAAGTACTCATTTATTCAAAAATAACAGGCATTGGAATGAAGACCATTAGAACACTTAATCCGAATCTGACCAGTCTAAATCTTTATCCTCATGCACTGGGATCACAACAGGTGTCACAACACTGATGTCCACTCCGTCACTTCGGCGATAATGACGTTCAGTCTAAAGGACGTGGTCCTCTGCCTTCTGCCACACTTCAGAGGTTATCATGTGTCTGTCGGTCTGTAGTGAACACCACACGATGTGAGGAAATCCTGCATCGTCTTCTTCAGGCTACTCATTGTCAGTGTGATGCTACATGGTTCCCGAACATTATGGTGGCTGGCATTGCCCATCACTATGACAGTGGGCTGATCAAGATTGGGCAAAAGTTGATGTTCCATCCAATCCATGAAGACATCTCCGTTCATCTCTTAATGGTAATTAATCTCCACTTGATTCCTTTGCTTCAAAGACCAACTCGATCGTCGATCAATCCTTTGTCCCGGCTCCCTGCATCAAGTACAATCATTCGGTTGCCCTTCACGGAGGCTCTCTGTCGGTCTGTGGGTAATATAACCACATATAGTCCGTAGAGTGGTTCTTGTTGACCCAAGTTTCATCCAGGTAAACTATCTGGAAGCCAAGGGCACGGTATTCTGCCGCAGTTCTCAAGTAAGAGGATCTCATCGACACTATAGAGTGCTTGTCCTTGACGACAACTCTGTCATCACCACGGGCTTTGTACTCATATTTACTCATTGTACACTGTTTTAAAGTCAAGACTGGATTTGAAAAAAGACACTTTTACATGTTTCATTGATTTAAAAAAAAGCCTTCGATAATGTTGATAGAAACTGTCTGTGGCTCAAGTTACTTAAAGATGTGATAAACGGAAAAATGTTTCCACAATTCAGTCGACGTATCAAGGCACTACAAGTGCTGTTAGAATAAACGATAACCCGAAGCCATTTTGCAAGGTGAATACGGGAGTGAAACAAGGCTGTATAATATCTCCTACGTTATTTTCCTATCTACAGTAATGATTTAGCCAATGAGATCGAGAGTTTGAATAAAATTGTAACTGTCAGTGACATATTTGTCTCGATGATATTGCAGATGATATCATTCCAATAGCCCCCACCGAAGAAAAGCTACAGAAAATGCTTGACGTTGTCACCTCCTGGTGCAGAAGATGGCGTTTGTGTGTAAATGAGGATACAACGAAAATTATTCACTTCAGAAAGGTTTTCTCTATACGTTCAGATGTTCAATTTAGATGTTGTAATCATTTGATTTGTTGTGTTGAATCCTACAAATATCTCGGGCCTTGATTTTATGAGCATCTAAATATGAAGCATGCTGTGAGAGAACTGGCAAAAAGTGCAAGTAGAGCCCTATCATTGCTTATTACGAAGTACAGACTGTGCGGTGATATGGCCTATGGCGTATACAGGAAACTGTACGAATCGACTGTTGAGCCCAGCCTATTGTATTGTGCGCCGATTTGGGGTATGTATAGCCATCGTGAGATCAGCAACGTACAAAACAGAGCTTGCAGGTTTTTCTTGGGCGTGCCAGGCCATACGTCGAACACTGCGATCCATGGAGAAATGGGGTGGCCTACCTGTCTCACTACACAACGAATAGATGCTTTTCGTTTTTATGTCAAGCACTGACGATGACAGACTGATCACCAAACTTTATAAATGGTCTAAAGGCAGAAAAGGTTCGTTCGCTTATACAGCACAACGCTTGTGCAGAAAACTAGGCATTAAGTGTAATACCACCGACACTACTGGAAATACAAAAGAGACATGAAGAGACGTCGGATGAGACTAGATGAAGAAGATTGGTTTAGGGATCTGTGGAATGATAAAGGCAACGTAAACGGAAACAAGCTCAGGAATTACAGTTTATTTAAAATGATCGACACCCAGAGACATACTTAGAGACTATAGTTAACAGAAACGCAAGAAGAAATCTCACCAAACTACGCTGCGGTAAGCTTGCTTTCCATGTCGAAGCAGGACGATCCCCCCACCCCACTGAATCAGAGAATGTGCCCATTTTGCAGTAGTGTAGAGGATGAAATCCACTTCCTTTTAAATTGCCATTTTCACAATGACGTAAGAATGAAGTTCTTAACCTTAATAGATATTTCCGATTTTCGAAACGACTTACAACTATTAAATGTTTTTATGTCATCAGGACCATTATTTTATCTCTTTTATCAAATTTTGTTAATGAAATGTTCAAAAATAGAGATATTCTTACCTAAGGTTATGTTACAGTATATATTACAAGGTGTATGGTTTTATAAAAATCTTTCTATGATGTATATTTGACCCCTTAGATAACAGTGTCTCACAAGCCTGTTAAGGCTGGATGTATGTAAAACATTATGTGTTTATTGTATATGTATTTTATATCTTGTTTACATACATGTGACACTTTAATAAACTATATCTGTCTGTCTGTACTTGAACCCCATCCCATGGAGGGCAATGATGAGGTGGTTCTGGAAACGTTGATACTGTCCTTAATTTCCTCTCTGATACTCCTACATGTAGGTGAATCTTCTTCTCGTAAAGTTTGTAGACTGACCGTCAGACTACTCCCTTGTCAAAATTGTCAAGGATGCTTTAACGTCCCGGTTTTGTTTTGGAGACGGTCCCTGTCTTGTTTGATTTGTTTACAATTTTGTTAACTTGTTGGTAAGTGTCACAGGGTGCGCAAACCCTTTCTAAGTAATAAACTGAGTGACAGTAAGACATACCAACTGCTTTACAAGTTCTGTGATAAACCCTTTCTAAACGTTAACCAATGAAAGATTTACCTCTGTCTTTTTCAAGCACAAAACTAAACATTTGTAACAATCGACTGCATATCACTGGACAAAGTGAACACTGTATTAGACATGTGCATGCATGACGGGAACGTAGTTATGAACATTTATATTAATATATTTATTCAATAAAGAAACAATAATTAAGTAAGGTAATACACACATTCAACATTAAAATTGTATATATTTATTAAAAACGCATGCACGTATAACGTTGGACAGCAAACTATGAAATGAAACCGTCATGCTTTTAAATCCCAATGGAGTTGCATGATCAATAATCCTTCATAAATATAGTTACTGTCACTGTGAACGTTTTGACTACTTCATAGGAAATAACTCGTGTTTAATGCTGGCTGAGAATATGCAGCTGCTGCCACAAACAATTATCGGAAATACACCAGGGCCTAGATTTTCGAAGCTCTCTTAGCTCTAAGATAGTCGTAAGTGCCATACATTAACATTAACTTACGACTATCTTAGCGCTAAGAGAGCTTCGAAAATCTAGGCCCAGGTCTACAGTATACAGTCCTTCAGCCATTTTCCTACTGTCTAGCCCTCCCTGCAATGCTAAAGCCCTAAATGAAGCAAGTCTAGATTTCCTCAGGTTCAGGTACTGAATCTCATCTCCCACTGGGGCTCCTTAATTTTAATGGGTTTGTTGGTCACTATAAAACTTATATATATTCAGAGACTAAGCGTTAGTCTACCTGACAACAATTCCTACAAAATATACTTTTCAGAACTGAACAATAAATACATTCCATTGACAGTAATATTTGACATTTTATTAATCACTCATAAAAGATCAGTACTTTTTCGTTAAAATCGTGGCAAACACGACCTTTATGTATCACACGGTGTCCTGTCATACATCAGTACTTGAAGATGCTAGGTGTGCATCTATAGTGACTGAGTGAGTTCAGTTTTACGCCGCACTCAGCAATATTCCAGCTATATGGCGGCGGTCTGTAAATAATCGAGTCTGGACCAGACAATCTAGTGATCAACAGCATGAGCATCGATCTGCGCAATTGGGAACCGATGACATGTGACAACCAAGTCAGCGAGCCTGACCACCCGATCCCGTTAGTCGCCTCTTACGACAAGCATAGTCGCCTTTTGTGGCAAGCATGCGTTGCTGAAGACCTATTCTACCCCGGATCTTCACGGGTCTGTGCCACTATAAATAGGACACACGGGCACATATACGTAAAACAATGGCTGGAGTGTGTGAGGTGATGAATAACTATAGGAACAATACGATGCACAAAGCTAATAAAGGTTCTGTGGTTTGCTGTTGCTCAACGCCGCACCCAGTATAAGTGTAATTAATTCATACATTCAGTTAAAAGATATTTGCATTTTGACGTTAAAGAATTCCATGGCGTTTACGTTGTCCTTGTCCCCGGGGAGTGAATCACGTTTAACGTCACTTTGAACAGTATGTCAGTCATGTGCTGATTTTGTGTCAGCTTCATAAAATATACCAGAATAAAATAAAGTACAGCAATATTACAGCTATATGGTGGCGGTCTGTAAATAATCGAGTCTGGACCAGACAATCCAGTGGCCTACATCATGAGTATCGAACTACACAATTGGGATACGGTGACATGTGTCAACCATGTCTTTGTGTCTGACAACCAGATCCCGTAAGTCGCCTCTTACTGATTGTAGTTATAGGTGTGAGTGTGTAAGTTGGATTTTACGCCACTTTAACAATATTCCAGGATTTCACGGCGGGGGACCCCAGAATGGGCTTCACACGATGTGAACATGTGGGGAATCGAACCCGGGTCTTCAGAGTGACAAGAGAACGACTTAATATAATTGTAGGAAAGGGGGTGGGGTTTAGGAACTCACGAAGTTTCACTGGATATGACATACTTACTGGAAGAAACCACATTGACCTCTCAGCAAGAAAGTAGCCGCTGATGGTGTTTCTTTTTGACCTGAACATAGCCTGCAAGTGACACAAAAATACATTACGTTACTTCAATGCATGTGTATCTGGACATTGCTTCGTAATCATTGTGCTTAATATCTTCATACATATAAATATGTGAATTTGTAAGTGGGTGGTTGGACGGATAATATTGTTCAAAGTCACGTTGAAGAACATACTGATACACTTTAAAAAAGAATGCATTGCATCAAGTGAGTGGGTGAGTATGGTTTTAGGTCGTTTTTAGAAATATTCCAGGAGCATCATGACCTTGGACTTTAAAGATGGGCTTCACGTTTTTTACTCATGTGGAGAATCGAAATCAAGAATAGGACGTGACAAGCGAACGCTTCAGCCACAAAGCTACAACAACGTCCCACGACTTGTTTTGATTGTGACGTCCCAAACCTACAGATGTGGTGAGACAGTAACTACATATAACAGCGCGGGGGCACCAGAATAACTTTTGAGATCGGAAGGATTTTGAAAGCAGACCTAATATCGGAAGACCTAAAGCATCTAGACGGACAATTCAACGAACATAACATAAAAGGATAAAGTTAAGACAAACATCCATATGTAAACCATAACTCCAAACTACCGGATCAAACTGTCAGGGACAGTATACCACATCTAAAAGTATCACATTCGACTGAACATGAGATAAAGACAAACATCCATATGTAAACCATACCTCCAAACTACCGGATCAAACTGTCAGGGAGAGTATACCACAATATCGGCTTGTCACAGTACAACAAATTGTTGAAACACCTTCCCCACAAATTCCTTAGTAAGATTGTGTAGTGTGCTATGCACTTAGGTACTATACTTCAAAACCATTTGTACAATCAACCTCTGCCCCATTTGCTGTGAGATGTGGTCAAACAGAGGGTAGAATATGGTCCTCTTCCAGTACAGCATTGGAGTTAGAGCATTGGCATTATCTCGCATTGTCTGACGGCCAACCATCTTGTCATGCTAGGGACCAGTTCATATTTTCTTGCAATCTGCGAGGCATGCAGGCTCCTCGTGAATGTGCCGGAGACTACTTATGGCAATTGAAGTCTCACCGGAAGCTTTAATTACATCAATGCTAGGAGACTGTAACAATTTTGATAATTGTACAGAGTAATGCATGACATGTTGTGGAACAATGAGACCAACGATAAAGTCAAAGGAGGGAACTGACAATGGTAATGATCTAGCTCTGGGATCCCCATTCTGTCTGTTCCAGTGCTTGCACGTTATCAACAATAGCATCAAATCCTGCTTTGAAAGTGGATAGAGATTCTGCACGACTTGATCATCGTGTTTCACATAGTTCAGTGATCTTCGTTTTTCGACCCATTGATTCTCTCACTTTTTGATTGGACTGAAACTTATTGGCGAAAAATAGAAGACGCTTTGCTGAATATGAAAATGCAAAAGCGATATCCTGAACTGTACACATGATCATGACTAAATGGAAGAACTGTGCACACGCGTTAAGGCGTTTAATGATTGCCTGAATACCACTGGCACGACCACTCATGGTGGAAGCGCCGTCATATCCCTGACCTCTCATGAAATGTGTATCAATGCCATATTCATTCACTTAATTCCTTAAGGAATTTCTCAGATAAACTTGCTGCCTTTGTGCCTTCCTCATTAACCGACACATAGGTGACAGAAAGAGAAATCTGTTCTTGTTTAAGGAATCAGTGGCCTCATCAGTGATAAGAGCAAAACACTTTTGAGCACTGCATTCATTTGCTATGTGGGTTTTTTCTATTTGTGATGCACACAACTGCTGGAGCTCGTCTCGAATCTGTGGTGACAAATATTTGTTACGAGAAGAACTATCGTCCAAATGGTGTTGTTTTTTCAGGATGACATCATTGCAAGAGAGTAACGAAGTTACCTTTGTCCTCTGTGTGACCCCTAATAACGATATTTTGTTTTCCACACAGAAGGAGTGTTTTCAGAAGTGAACGGTTTTTAGCAACAGTTGCTTTGTGACGTCTTGACAGTTGCGTACAAATATTATCTTGAGAAGCAACCTTTCTGTAGTTAATGCATTTTTCTTAGCAATTTGTGCAAAATGAGTGTGCCGCTTTATCAATGTACCAATATTTGCCCAGTCAGTTACATATACAGATACAAAAGCACCTGTATTTGCGTCAGTGGTGAAAAGGATACATGGAAGACATATGACACCATCGTTGAGAGGAGAATACCTTAGCCATGGATATTCATCTTAAAATCTTGCGCGAAACTTTATATTTTTGCCCCTGATATTTCTCGATGGGACCTTCACCAACCTATCTCTCCTAACGTCAATATTTAATGGGTAAAACGATTTCAAAGAATAGATCAACGATGTTGCCAGTAGAACAAACGATTTCGGACAGAAGTCTCAGCCAATTCCCAGACAAAATTTATTGCATAGAGTAGACAAAACACGTTTTGTCTATAAATGATCCGCGAAGCAAGTTGCGTTTGAATGCCTATGAAAACAAATTAAATGTCAATTATTGTAGCATCTTGAATCACAAGATTTTTACTCTTTTTTCAATTTTAAAGAGTAAGCACGGGCTGTTTTAGCTATGCTGTAGCTACGCCATTGTTATTCGGAAAGGTATAACAATTTCGAAAGTCAATATACTCTATGTTGTATTGTCTCGATGCAGCGGAATTTCAGTGACAAGATGTGGATGGACTTCGGTACCTTTTTATTCTGGTTCAGAGTGCGCCATGGACTGTCACACTGATTACATGTAAAAGCGAGACGGGAACTCACTTTGAATATACATTAACTTAGGATTAATAGCGAAACGAAATAATATCACTATATTACATAATAGTACTTACCAACAGGCCGATACCTATGACAAGGATGAAATAACCAGCGATGACGCCGATGTCACCTCCAGTAAGGCGGGGGGTGCTGAAAGTCGTCATTCTCCAATATTCTTGAAGCTCCAACTCGGTGTCCCGGTGCTTGGCGCTGATAGTCATTATAGTAGCAGTATGTATGGAATCCTAGAAGGGACATTGTCGCGTAATATGGAATTCTAGATGGGACATTGTCGCGTTGTTGCATTGTCGCTCTCTCAAAAACAAGAAAAAGAGGCAAAATTAACCAAAGCGCGACAATGCGACATTTCGGCCATTTGTCGCATTGTCGCTATGTCGCATTGTCGCGTTTTGAATAATATTTTTCTATTCATCCAAAGGGCGACAATGCGACATAGTGACAATTTTCAAGGTCAAAATATGTCGAGTTGTCGCCCCAGCTAAGATGTGTAAAAAAAAGCCTAAAAACGCGCGACAACGCGACAATGTGACAACGCGACATAACTGAATATGTTGCATTGTCGCGTTGTCGCCCTTCTCGATTACCGGTGCGCATGTGTAGAAAGTCAATTAGTCTACGCATGCGCAGGAAAAGTTACACTCTATTTCAGACTTCAGTGGTCTTTTGTTACCACTAATGGTTTTAAAAAATGAAGTAGTACTTGTCATAGCAATGCTTTTCTTGAACTTAATGCAAATCTTTCATTGTTGCTTTGAAAATTATTTCATATATTGTAAATGTAGGCGTATTTAGCCAATCAAACGAGTTTTACCAGCAAGACAAATTATTTGCGCTACTATTCATTGTAATGACGGCACACAGTGGCCCTGTCATTTTAGCCAGGGCAATTTCGCTGTGCATGGTTGCGGCTCTTAGTCATACCAGAAAACTATGATCATAGGTTCGAATCCCAGCACCATACAAATTCATCACTTTGGACATTTATACATCAGTATAAAAATCAGGTGAAGTCCTCGAATAGGTGACCATGCTCCTGAGAGAGTTTCTTGGGACAGTCCTGTCCTACACTGATGAATTTGTCCGAAATGTGCCTCTGTTCAGCCACCAGCAGTGGAGGGATACCAGATAGAATGAAATGGTAATATGACTCTAACCATCCAGCTCCTCAAAGACGGCTTAGGTCGCCTTCTCCCATTGGGACTGAGAATTGCCGGTGTAATAAAGTCTTTCAATGTGATATTCTGTTTGGATAATCGCCATACAAATGGACTGTTATCGTGATGATATAAAAAGCGATGAATTCGCTTGGCAGAGTGGCGTACCCTTGGAGCGCCAAAAATCTATACTCACTCACTAAGTTAGTAACTCACGCACGCACGCACGCACGCACGCACGCACGCACTCGCTTAAGGCTTAGGGAGCTTGGTAAATTAGCAAGGTATTTCATCACAATAACGTGTTGTGAAGTATAGTTTTCAAATCTATTTGAACCCTATATATTTCATTGTGCACATGCCATGATTCACAATACATAGATACATCGATAATTTTCCCAGACGATACGATACGCGATACATGTGTACCTATATCGATTGATATCTTAATCCCATTTCGTTTCAAACATAGACCTATTCATTCATATTAATTTTCATCAAAATTGCGAGTAATTAAGAATTACGAAATAAGCATCGGGAGATAGCCGTGGTATGTCCAATTACCAAAGGCTCTTAACCCACAGATTTTGATCTTTCTTCACCGCCCATGCATATGTATGCGCGTTTATTATTATTATTATACCTCTGCCCTGCCAAAAAATCGAAAATAATCGATCATGTTTGTTAAAATATTGAAATTTAACAGTAACTAAAGTCCGTTTCATTTCATTTGAGACCGATGAATTGCTCACTAACACAAAATCTAATAACTGCAACAAAACCAAAATTTGTACAGTCACATGAAATCGACAGACCAACTCTGATGATTTGTGTCATAATTTTGGACACCCGAATAAAAAAGTTGTTTAACAAACGATCATTATTTGGTTGTCACTTGTCGGGGTTTTTTTCCACGAGGGGGAACCATTGGTTTGCTTTATATTCAATGCATCTCACAAGAGGAATACTGACTTGATTACAATGGAGCTATAGCATCAACCAGTATTTATCTCAACATCTACCAGTTTAAATCATACCCAAGTGTCCTCTCCTTTCCAAAGTGTCAGTCTGTCTGCCTTCAGCTTTATCCAGTTGAACATAAAAGATGGAGTTGCAATGAGGCAATTCCTGAAAAGAATGAAAGTTCTCATGTATAATAATTTCATATATGTTATAGACCTTACATTACCAGGGCTCCAGATAAGGGCCGTATCGGCGTATGTACGGATAGAAATTTAGTGATTTATATTTGTCGATAAATCAATATTTACACAGCTGAAACCGACCGTAAGATTAAGACTAAGATCGCCATAAATTTGTAAGTGTGCTTATTTTACACTAAATATATACATTAACTGAGAAAAAGATAAACGTATGTATAACTGATTAATCATAGTTTTGTTTTCATCATACATGTATACGTACAGGTCACTGTGAGGAGTCTGATGATTTGAACCATCCTTGGCCATCAAATGTATATTATCTTCGTTCACATTCATTCAAACTAACGATCCTTGAAGATCCGGGTCAGAATCTTGCTTGCCGTAATATACGACGTACGGGATCGGGTGGTCAGGCTCGCTGACTTGGCTGACCCATGTCATCGTATTCCAACTGCGTAGTTCGATGCTCATGATGTTGCTCACTTGATTGTCTGGTTCAGACTCGATCATTTACAGACATATAGCTGGAATATTGCCTCTTACAAGCATGTGTTGCTGAAGATAGATTTAACCCGGATCTTCACGGGTTCGTTATTTGAATCCAGTCGTTTGACAAGTTTGGAATTTCATACAACTATTACTGACATGATGACAAAATAATGACTGCTCTCGAAAATACAATCCATCAGCCATAGATGCAGGATACGAGAGACAGACTGTTAAACCCTATCTGATGTGTACAATCGTCCTATTGTTGAGTCCTCCGTGTCTTAGTGTAGCTGGGAAAAAACAAAGCATGATGAGCTACAATCGCATGATGATTAGCTAAAATAACATAAATGAGATGAGTGGGATTACCATGACAATTAGTGAATGTAAGTTAATTAGACAGAAGTCAAGGAGGTGGGGGATTAATTAGTGTGCAACCAGGGGCGAGGAATGGGAGTTAGGCAGGTGATGATCATGAGAAGCCAGAGTTGGTTGAGTGGATAATTATTTGTGGATTAGGTGGTTGTAAGCTGATGGGATGTAATAGCCCTGGCCCTGTTAATAGAGGGGTTAAAATGGCGTATTTGTAATGAAAACTAAAACGCTGCAAATGATTGGAAATATAGTTTATTTCAGTTGTGTTAATGATACAATTAGTGAAAATACGAACGGTGTAATCGATTTAAATTGGAAATATCCAAATTTGTGTATTGTGGCGACTGCATGAATTACGGTGGTTGGCTCGAGATGAGCTTCGTATTTACAACCAGCATCTCCAGGGATGAATACAATCATGTTTGCCCATATTATTCATTATATTTGATGAAACAGTCAAGTCATCACAACAGGACTGAAACGATCAGAAGTCATTGAGGATGGGGATGTTATAAGTCAGAAATAGCTATAGCTTGAACGGTCTCCCACCCTCTCCGGACCTCACGTTACATGTATCACCGCCAATACTTACGCTGAAGGGGTCGTTGTCGGCACGGGTACTACAGATATGTACCCCAGGTACGTTTCTGTATACAGATATGTACCCTGGCCATAATGAGAATACAGAAACGTACCCTAGGACGATTCCATTCCCACTGTGTCGTATTCTTGATCGGAACTGTCATGCTGTTGTATTAGATACATTTGGTTGCGTTATGTAAGTAATGAGAATACACAGTAACGGATATTTCGCGATGCACATGAATACCACTCGGAATTAGTTAAATGAGAACAACTACATACGGTTTCGGTTTAGGATTGCGGAATATGGACTCGTCCGCCTTTTAGGGTACTTTGTACGTTTCTGTATTTTGACTTTGTTTAGGGTACATATCTGTAAACAGAAACGTACCTGGGGTACGTATCTGTAGTACCTGTGCCGACAACGACCCCGTCAGCAATACTTACAGCCCCTGCGACGGAGAAGGTGTAGAAATGAGTTCGTGTAATATGCATGTCACAGGCACATTGTTGACAAGTAATGCAATAATCCTATAATTGTTTTCAAATTATTTGTACCACATTTATAAAATTGACACTCTATTGATTTGGGATTAGTATAGTGACGAATCAAAACCAAATGCAGCGAATAAGTTTAAGAAAACAGTCCATCAAATTTAAGTGCGCCGCCTCAACAAGCGATATGTGGTCACGCTATGATTTAAAAGGGAGACAACTCTGCCATTCTTAGCTGGCGTTGGAGTGTCTTGTAAACATTTCCTACATTTTTGTACATTATATACTCATGGAGACGAATAAGGGAACACATGAAAGTACAATTAGCAAGTGTTTCTTTGTGTATTTCCTAATTACAGCGCAATAGATACCTTGTGAAAAAACTGAAGAATAAAGGAACACTGGTTCTTTCATATGTTCCCTTTTTCGTTTCAAAAAGTATATGATTGTATTCGATATGAACACCCGTGGCCTCGAAACTGGAAAAAGTAGAGTATGCAGTCTTTTTGTCAGAGAGTTGGTTGGGCCGAGTTGAGTAAGGGTGATATGTGCATTGTATGGCGACAAGCCCCAACTATTTTAGTGGGTGAGTGAGTTTAGTTTTACACCGCTTTTAGCAATGTTTTTAGGTCATCAGATGAGGACGCACACATGTTATAGGGAGCTATACTTGAAGGACAGTGACAGAAAATAGGCATGGTTTTCGCTTCCGCTCGTTAAGTGCACCTATCAAACGCACGCACGCACGAACACAAGCACGCAGCACAAACAGACACGTGCACACTATTAGTTACGTGGTATGTACCGGGTATAACGTCTAGTAATCTTTATTTCTGTCATAAAGCATCAATGCTACCACAGATATACAAAAGTGCAAACAATGAAGCTCGGGTCCAAAACACTGGAGTGATGTAGCAATATCAAATGTAACTAAAACTTGGA